GGGATCAAGGTGACGATCCACTTCCAGCTCCCCCACAAGCCCCCCCCCCCCGACCCCAGCCCCCAAGTGCGTCCTCGCCTCCCCTCCTTTCACTTCCTCTCGGAGTCCACGTCTCAACGTGCTAGAAGAATGAATGGACTTTGTGGAGCAGGCTGAGCTTGTCGCGGGCGCTTAAGAAGCTAGCGGAGCCAAACATGGAGCTGGAAAAAATACAGAACGAACTTCACAGTGGAGGGGGGGCTTTATGAAATGAGCGTGGTGAGAGCCTGGTCTTTGGTCATAATCGAAAGAGGCAGCTGTGATTCTCTGTCCTTATTCATGTGAGGTATCGCCCCTCTGGCCACGTCCGGGATTTTTAACATGAAACCATGGTGACCGAGCTACCATGGAGACTCTTAATGGCGTTACGTGCCACTGCTTCACTCTTCTCCTGACCCCGCCCCTTCATTTTTTTTCTGGAATGTTTAAGACTGAAAGGGATAAGATGCTCTGGGTGTTGATTGTTCAGCATTTTAAATTGTTTTCGATGTCGGTCAGAGATGAAATGGGGGTGGGGGGGGGAGGGGACAGAGGACAGAGAACAATGGCACCCCGCTCACCTGGACCGTAGGGGTCTGTCGTCTGTCCCTCCAAATTCTTAGCTTTTGGCTGAAGAAAGTGTAGGCTGAAGGCTTGGTGGATTTAAACTTTGTTACACAGATAAATTTAACTCTACATGTAAACTTGTAAAGATGTATTTCTGAGAACTTATTTTTAACGCGATGTCTGGGTTTTGAGGCATGAGCACCGACTGCACCAGTGCTCCTTTGGCTGAAGCAGGAACTGTGTTTGGCATGAAGATTCTTCACAAGTAGAATAACAAGTGCTTCAATTGGACACCCTCACTGGGTTTTAAGACGGTGACCGAACGTGACCTGCTTTTTCTCGTAGGCACTGCGAAGTCCTGGCATTCTGTGCCATTCTTGTGGACTGGTGATGTGCCCCCCCCCTGAATGGCATGAGGGCCACCCTGTCCTGCCGAGTCCAATGCTGTTGCAGTTTGGATTGTCCGTTACAACAGATCCCTGTATTACTTTAGCCATAACCTTGGCCATTTTGTATGGCGATGGCCACATTAAATCTCTGCCCCTCTAACTCCAAAGAGGTCGGCCTTCCTCCATCCTGTGAAGTGCTTGGAATATCGTAACGTTGGATTACGCTCTGATCGCGGGACACGGGAGCGGCCTGTCAGACTGTGGGGGGTTGGGGTACTTCAGTTGCCCCTCCCTCGCCCCACAGGCAAAGATTTGTACGTAGAGCCAGTTTCAGGTTCTGCTCACTTGAGGTGGCAGGGTGCCTGCCGTAAAGGACGATGCCCCTTTCCCTGTCCTGTTGGCTGCATCCAGCCCCCGACACCCAGACACACTCCACATTTTGTTTGTTGGGTTCTCGGTCAGATAACTGAACTTACCCAGCACCAGACTCACCAAGCCACCTGTGACAAGGTGCAGATGTCGCTCGTTAAACGGCACTTGCATGCTTTGCCACATTGGTGGACAGAATTTAGACATACTGGTCTCATTGCAGTGCTCTTTATTTTCCTTTCCCACTTCCTAATTCAGAGTTTTTCTTTAAATTCATAGAAATGGCCTTTTTTGGTTTTGAAATATTACTTTCGGGTTACAAGCTGTAGATTGGCTCTGATTCTAACTCCTCAAAGCACTAGCAAATACCTTTATTGTGAATACAAGTGATGGATTGTGTTGTAAATTTGCATCTTCGAAGTGTATTGGCAAAATTGCGGACTTGCTCATATAAGCAGGCCTGCGAAATGTAATGCTGCCTGATTTCGTGTTAAGGGTTAACTTTCTGCTTCTAATGCTGTGCTTTTAAGTGAATGAACAAATTGGTCTGACGCCTTTGTAAGCGATCACTTTTATTGCCCCTTCTGTTGGCCCCTTCCCTCCCGTGTCACTTGTCTTTACTTCTGCTTCCCCAACATGGCGGTGGGCTTTGTCGCTCGTAAGCTCCGCCCACTTGCCCGGCTTGGGGCTGTCCTGCCACTCCCCAGCACCCGCAATACAGCCGTCTGTAAGCATCTTCCCGTCATCAACTAACACAACTCAGGAATACAAACTGTAGACTTTGCAAGAAATTGCCTCGTATGTACAAGATGCAGTGTACTCTTGTCATCGTCTGCTGAAATATCACTCCCACACTTAAACGGGCTTTTGCACCAAGGCGGCGTAGGGGACACCACCTCCGCCCCCCTTTCCAGTTTACTTAAGTTTATTTCTGGTCAAATATAGAAGCTGTGAGTTTTATTTGGTGGGAACATTTAAGGGTCAAATGTGAAGAATGCCGTGAAATGGTCACGTGACACCCCGCTGTCCTGATGGGAGTATGTCGTGCAGGAGCCCCGCGTATTGTGGCCAGCAGGGGGCGGTGAGGCCTTTGCAGCTGCTGTAACCGTCCTCATCTCTTAATTCTTAACAGCTGCCATCCGCTGCTGAAGGTTTCCATTGTACCTTCACAATGCGAGTTTAATGCTTGATGCTGATGTAAAGAGGTCACATGGGAGCTACCTGGCCAGTTCTTCACTGCTGATGGGTGTAAACAAGTCTGACTTTTTATCATGAAATCTTTCAGCAACAGAGGAGTGTCATCATGTGTACAGTCTGATGTTTGAAGTATTTTAACGGCATCTTCAGGTTTTTTTTTTTTCTCGTTAGTCCCATTTGTTAAGTTGCAGAATACAGTCACTTTGTGTCGACTGGGCTCACCCCCCAAGTGTTACATCTGACGAATTAGACCATTCTAACCTTTGAATGTATATCTAACACAGCTTGTCAATCCTACACTTAACTCAGACCTGAACTGCTGCTTTCCTGAAGCCAGGGCTCTGATGAAATGTTTTCACAGTAAACTGATTTGTTTAGTGTCGGGTATGATGATGTCATTAGCGTCACGCATACAAACACTGGACAGCTATGCCAGCAGGATGAGGTTTGGGGGAGGGGATTGCTGATTCTGTTGCTGATGCCATCTTGTGGTGGGCAAATTTATCAAGTTATGCACTATTGGCATGCTTTGATTCCTTCCTCCCCCAATTGCGAGAGTAATTTTGATGTACAGTAATTTGTAAACTTGCATCAAGTTTATGAATAAAGAATTTTAAGAAATAATGGGTCAATCTGTAATATTTTCAAGAAACTCTTGTCTTCAGTCCGTTGAACCTCTTTCAGATGCCTATTGCTGCCTGTAATTTTGCTTCTGCTTTGTGGTAACACACTTGAACATTCTTAATCTATATGTATGTTCGTTATGGGATACTTTAGATCATTACTGAGTTTTTCATGACAGCTGTGATCACATGATTAGGTAAAACCTGCTCTATATACGTGCAAGTGTGAATTTTGTCCTTTTCCAGATAAAGTGATAGTGCGCTAGCAGCAGAAGGACGGCCTGTGTCAGGGATGGTGGCGCATGATGGCTGTGTGTAGCTGTGAATTAATGGTTACATTGAAATAACATGAAAACAATATTGACCAGGCGCTCTGTTTTGGGAAGAGCATTACTCATCCATGGGTTATTACATAAATTAGTGGTTATCGGTGCAGCATGTTGGCAGTAAAATGGTGAGATTGGATTAAATTCATTCCTGGCAGATGAATGGTGTGTGTGTGTATGAGTGAGATGTATGAATAACACACATAGAAGTAATTTGGATATTTTCATTGGAAAGTTTTGCATGAAAGCAGGCTGTGCGTGCGATGATTGGAGCGTAAATGGGATAAATATGACTTTTGTCAGATGCCTCGTGTTTGTCAGTGGTTGGCCGTAGTGATTGGTCAGCTGTCATATGCTGCAGTTTCAGCTCACAGGTACCGAGCAGCCAGCCCCTACTGGTTGGCCAGTGCCCTCCCTCCCCACTATGTCCCTCCCCCAGGTTTTCCCCTCCCGCCAGTGTGACCAGAGTCCCTCCCCCAGGCCATCTCCCAAATCACTGGCCCCAAATCCCACCCTGAGCATGGCTTTGCCTTTGCTTAGGTGAAATGGGTTGTTTGCACAGGCTTCCTTTATAATGCCATGGCAAACTGATGATGATTATTAATAAATAACTACAGTTATGTAGGTCAGTGTTCACTCACTGTTGGCTTTATTCTGACTGCTGCAGCTGTTGCTTTTTTGGCCACTAGGAGGCACAAGTGAGCCTTTTTTGCTCCATCCATTACTGCAGAATGAAGCATTGCCCTGTGTTTCCACCTGGTGTATTTTGCTTTATTTATTTGATTAATTTTATATATTTTTTTTTACTTGTGGCATTATTACTATTACATTTTTGTACCCCATTTAATTATTGTTTTTAATGGTAATATTCAGTAGACTTTCACCAGTAAAGACATCCCGGTCTGTAATATATGTTTAATGGAAGTTTTCCTCAGCTGTGAATGTGGTGTTCAGTCACCTTGTTCACCAGGACGAGTCTGCATACGGGCCACCAGCTCCGGCTTTCGCAATAGGAGAGACCACCTAGCAGGAAATGTGGGTGGGGCCTTTATCCTCTTACCTAATCCTGAGAACCTCGGCACTGAGTGCATGACTTTTGGTTTGAGTAGAGCTCAATAATCTGCTACTGCGTCGCTATGGTGATGGGGGCAGTGGCAGTGATTTTCCTTTGCTGATGCTGTGAAATATAGGGGTTCCCCTTAATGTGCTGGTTGCCACAGTCATATTTGTACTGCAACACCCCCAAGACGCACACAAACAAGCACGCCCATGGTCAGTGCCCACTGCATGGCAGTCATAGTAACATTAAGTGTTAAACACAAGGCGAGATATTAAATGATAGCATTTACACATTAAAAATAAAAAATGCTAAATTAACCACAGACATTTCTTGGGGCTGCTAATGGAAGTGCTAATGCTACCACAGGGGTCACTATAGCCCCAAAGGGTGTTGCTGCTGGGTGATTGGCAGGCACTTGGCAAGGAAATGTGG